GACCACTTCAGTTTTTTCCTTTTTGCCAAAACTTCGGCCAACCCAGCTCTCCACGTGGCAATGTGATTATCAAAGAGTGAAACACACCCCTATTATTTATTCTAATTATATTAATAATTTCAAAAGCTTCGGTTTAGTATTTTATAGTTTTGTTAAACCTTACCAATTGTCTATCAGCACTTTAGACATCTACTTCTTCCTTTGAGATTGGAGATTCAAATACCCACTCCACATTTGTTTAAAAAAATAATTGTCTATAAATTATTTTTTACCCACTCGAAAAGCCCACCAATATTCTCATATATATTTTTCACTCAATCTTAAACTTTAATACATTCAGTTAACAGTAGTACGACAGGGCAATGAGAAATAATAATTTGTGAAATTTATTATCTACAAGGATGGTTTTATATCTATAGATAGCAAATTCATTTTTTCTCTTTTTTTTTTTTTGTACAAATGTGAAGNAATATGGATCTCACCGTTTGAGAGCAAAGTACAAATGGATTAATAAAGAGACCTGAGAAAATGTGTTAAGAAACTAATAAGAAAGTCAAACGACGCAACTAAAATAGACAAACAGCAAAAAAAACACGTCTCATAAACTAGATATAATATAACAACTCGTTTATGAAAATAAGTCTTAAACATACCATATAAGTGGTTGGGAACTAAAACGAACGCTATTATATCTAAGTAGTAACACGAGTATAAACATCAATTCTGAACCAAACGTAACATAACTATAGACGATCGTGATCATTTTCTAACTTTTAAATCCAAACCTAGATACAAATTTTGTCATTTAATTAATTAGGCGACCGTGTTTTAGAATATAAGCATTGTATGATGATCGTGTCTTTGATTAATTTCCCCCTTAATCAAGTGCGTCGGCATCAAATCTTTGACTTTAATTATGACTAAACTACCTCCCACCACACTCGATTCCTCCAGTTAAATCAACTTTCAAGATACAGTAAATTCAGTCTCAACAGAAGGGTATTCCAGTCTTTTCCTTTTCCTTACAATTTAATTTTTCATGTGTGTGAATCAGTGAGTGTTTTAATCCTCTGCACGTCGCTCTCATAATTGAATGATGTGACCCCACCATCTGTCTTTCAACCGCCATTCTAGGCCGCTGATCTCCCCCGTCTGACTCTTAATTCGGACGGCAGTGATTAAATCACCATCAATTCCATTCAATGGCTCCGATTGTCCCATCCGATGCTTGCGTGTGCACCGGAACAAAACCCCCATCTTATATATCAGAAATCTGGACGGCTACAAAACCCAAATATTTTCCTTTTTTTTTCTCATTTTCCTTACAGAATATGACTCAATTCCACCTCCGCCTTCTTCTCGCCATTCTTCTTCTTCTCTCTCCGACCACCACCGCCGCCGCCGCCCGGTCAAGATTTCCGATGAGAAAGCAAGTGGCTTTCCGGCCATCTTCTCCGTCGTCAGCAACTAAATTCGTAGACTTCGAAGAACAGAAGCGAAGAGTCCCCACAGGATCAAACCCTCTACACAACAGACGGTGATTGATTACATAATTTAATTTCTCAAGCTTCTGAAATTAAAAAGTTTCAATTTTTCTTTTACCCCTTGTTTTTAAATTAGTTACCCACTTCTCTAAATTGGGTTCTTTAGAAAATATGAACTTGTGTTTAGTTTGAATAGAGAGATTAGTTAATTAATCTATACAAGTTTTTGTATTGGTAGATAGTGAGAGAAATTTCGGCATAGAACCCATGTAGAAAATTTTGGTATTTGTAAATTTTTTCTTCTTCTTCTTCTGATAATTATACACTACTACTCATCAATATTATTGTATATTAAACAAATAGAGAAATTTTCATTGTTTTTTTTTTTCCTTTTCGTAATTATAACTCTTCCCTTGTTTTTTCTTTGCTCTAATTACGTGAAATTATTACTCTTAAGATTTGTAATTCATGATCGTGATTGCATGTAGAAATGTCTTTCCGAAGCTATCTCATCTCTCTCTTTAAAAGTTGTAAAGAAAGGGATGAAAATAACAGAAATCGTAGGAAACAAGCTTCCCAAAACCCTATAAATTTTGCTGCCAATTTGAGTATATAACTTCATTTCTACTTCTTCCAAATTGGGTTCGAATCACTGTTTGTGATGTAATATGGTAACAAACAAAAAACCCCAAAATTGAAGCCATGCATATTTATTCAGCTCTCTTTCGTTCTTTATTTGTTGACTTCAATGGCAGCCAAGACATTTGGGTTTTTAGTGTAAAATCAGCATTGGGATTGAGAAGGATGAACAAAACCCATCACAAAAATCAAGGGTAATCTTTTTAGATTAAAAAATGAAAGGCTTTTTTTTTTTCTTTTTCATTCTTTTCATCTCATTCGAATTACTGTATATGGGTTTCCAGAGTTGACAGTGTTTCTGGGTTTTTTTTCTTAAAAGCCATCGCAGTCCGCCATTAATGTCAGAAAACCTGCAACCTTTAAATGCCCAAGTTTAATACCCATAATTCCCCACAACTACCATGCAATTAAAGACACATCTTCATCATAATCATCTGGATCGCAATCACCGTCATCGTCGATATTGTGCAGAGGGAATAGAATATATGTAGGGTGTGAAAATCTTTCAAGTGAGAGAGAGGAAAAAAGATGTGAGCTTTTGTCATTAAAGTTACAAAATTGGCAATGGTTAGGGAAAAGGATCTGGTTTATGAAATGTGGGTTTTGAAGAAGAAGAGATGACAAAAAGGAGGTGTTTGGAAGTGGATTGTGGGAATGGTCCACCAGAGATTTGTAGTATATTTGAGTGCAGCCACTGTGGGAAAATGGGTCAATGCACTTTACAAACATGCCCTTCCACCAACCAGGCTTTTTCTTTGGGTGTGTGTATGTGTGCGCGCATGTAAAATTCAACTCATTTGAATCAAATTATTGTGTAGTTGAAGAAAAAAAAATTTACCATCCTTTTTTGTACATAAGTCAATGGGAGGGTACCATAATTCTCACATATGAGTTTGAATTCTAGCTAATTACTCCTTTTCCCATTTTGATTTCATTCCATTCCACAATGGAACAGAGAAAAGAAAATAAATTACATCAACTTACCCATTCAAAGTAATTATACTTACCCATTCAAAGTAATTATACGAACATCGAAGGTTGGATATCTTACAAACAGACTTGTTGAAGTAGTTCAATACGTTGTTGTACATAGAGTAGAATCGATTGTAGAACCACTCGAGGGTTCATGCATAATTTCCATATCAAGATTATATCAACCATGACCTTGGCTATCAACTATAGATTTGTTTAAATTGAAACCATTTAAGTTGAAAATCACCCTCTCTTTTCATCTTTTGGTTTAGATGGAAAACAGGGTAATTTAATCATATTTCTTCATCTTAGATTACAACTTTGTAGGATTTCATAAGACTATATAAATTAAAGCCTATAAACCCGTATTTTATACTATATAGAGTTAATCTTTCATATGAAATAATATAAATTTTTTTTTTACAATGTAGGGTGGAAACATCGATTGGTTGATGTCAATTTTAGCACAAAATCGACATCAAAAGATTGATAATTTGATTTTTATTAGTCGACAACTTATACTTTTCTAACCATGGTACAAATTGACCAATCGACCACATAAATTGCGTCAACTCAGACTTTCTAACTTTGGACTCATTAGTCAAAACGAGCATAGTTCAGTGGTAATTGACATATATCTCCAGAGGTTGTGAGTGCGATCTCCACCCCCACATGTACTTGAAAAAAAAAGAAACTTTGAACTCGTTAAAATAGTGAACAGAAATGCACATTCCCTCTGTAAATTTGCATGAAAAATTGTTCCTTAAAATAAATCTTATATTAGTGTATAAAAATGCAACTTGATTACAGAGATTTGTCAAAACTTAATAAGTTTTGCTTATATGAACATAATTTAATTTCTCCAAATATTAGTAATCTCCTTTTAGAGGTGGTTCATTCTAACTATCACCACCTCTTTTCTTTGAATGATAATAATTTTCTAAAACCATATTCAAAAAGCTCCACTAGCATTTTCAAAAGTCACACCGCATATTTTGAATTATACCCATTATCTATAATATTTTTATTTTATTTTTAATATCAAGTTACATAGATACAAAATGATTTTTTTATCATACTAATTAAACAAGGTGGTCATTTTTCAACCCATTTAAATTATATCAAATTAATATAGTCAAAGCTCCATTTTTCTTTATATATATATAGACATTTACTCATGTGACAATCTTCATCTTCAAGCCCAAGAAAAGGCTGTGTCACTTGTTGTGGTGCTTGTCCTCCAAGAAAAACGTTTGATCCTTGGAGGTGGTGTTATACATATACACTATTAA